CAACCCTAAACCCAACACCCCAAACCCTAAACTACAGAGAAAATCGGCTGGGGCTTTTGGTCCAGTGGGCTGCGAGCAGGTCAGCGCTAACAGCTAACCCCGGGCCGAGGTTCCAACAAAAGTCGGGCGACAACTTCCCCTTAGTTGCTTTAAGGTTTAGGGTTTGGGGTGTAGGGTTTGGGGCTTAAGGTTTAGGGTTTGGGGGTTTAGGGTTAGGGTTTAGGGGTTTAGGGTTTCAGGGCTTGGGGTTTAGGACTCCTTAAAGGGATGCACCTTACAGAAATCCCTAAACCCTAAATCTAAGCCCCTAAAACCCTAAACCCTAAACCCTATAAGCCTTAACCCGAGACTCGAAACCTCGGTATCTGCATCCCCCCAGGTTTGGGGTCCGTCACGTACCTCCTCGAAAGACGCAGCCACCGTAATTTTTTGAGGAAGGCGACCAAAAGCCGAGGTGGTGGGTTCCGGGTCGCGGTCGTGTAGCCGGTGTGGCCCTTGTCCCCGTCGAGTCTTAGCCGGTGCCGCGGATCCGTGTCCTTTTTTTATTCTGGTCGGTGGTCCCCGGTGTTGCCCCGGTCAGTGTCGCAGGGTGTCCACAGCGTTGTGGTCGGTGTTTCTGCATGGTAAGGTCTGAAGCTTCTGTCAAGAATTCCCACATAGCCGGGCTAGGGTTTATAGGGTCTACGACGGTGTACGCTCTAATGACCGGGCCGCTGGTATGCAGCCTCCGTGCATTCTTTGGAAAGCTGCAACGCCTTTCAGCTTCAGCTCATGCACTTTGTTTTCCATGCCGCAGCTGCTGGATCATGGACAACGTGTCCAGAAAATGTGTGCTTTCACAGCACCTGAACCCTGTTGGGCTCTCTGTTGGAGTGAACCGCGCTTCCACGGCTTGGCATATGAATAGTTCTCTAAATTAGGGTCCCTTTTTAGGTCCCCAATAAATATAGTACGCCACCCTTATGGAAAGGACCCCCAAAAGGGACCCTAATTTGGAGACCTACCCATATCCTGGCTTAGTTAAAGGAGCACCTCCCGGCCCAGCATTCAAGCTTGGGACAGCAGGTGGTAGGGCTTCTAAACACGCCTGGGATTGAAACACTGTCAGTGATGATGTTAAACATAGGGGCCTTACTAAAGAATACTATTCCCTAGGACTTGATATAGCTATAGTCTACAGTACTTATATAACCCACAACCCTCCTCTGTTTATTCAGGCCCCTATGTTACACCACTGGCTTTCCCCCACCGATTTCAATGCTTGGGAGCTGGCTTGCGGAACACTTGCTGCAGCACTTGATTCAAGTTTTTTCTGTTTGTAAAACTGCTCATTACTATTAGTATTAATATTATTCTGATTGAGCTTCTTATTATTATTATGTTTTTTATTTATGTATTTATTTTTGAGGTTTCTTGACGATGCAGGAGGCCGAGGGGCCATTTTTTCTACGATCACGCTTCGGTGAGAGCGGGCTGCCGATGCAAGACTCCGCCAGCTTTTGCAGGGCACCCCTGCTGGGTCGTGGACAGCATGTGATCACGCAAGAACTACGGTTGATGATATAAAACCTGCATTACCCATAACAAGGAATATACCATAATTCCCATCGTTTAGGGCCCTTAAGGTAATGCAGGATTTATATCATTAACAGTACCTAGTGATGAAAACTGCGAGATGCAAAATAACGAGGCCTCCTCCGCTCTTGTCCCACCGGAGGTGCGGGGATTCGAGCCCCTCCCTCTCCGCTGGAGTTCCAAGAACTGCCACCAAAGCCGAATACTACCCCCTTACATCAGAAACATCTCTTAAATGATACAGGGAGCCTTCATTTCTTTTGACTGAAGACGTATGTTGCTGACTCTTCACTTCAAGGGTATTGTGTTCTCTGCGTCACTTACAGGAGTCGCGAAGATTCCGGAGATGCTTCGCCGTCTCCACACCGAACCGAAAATCCTTGCACGGGCAGGTATGTACCATCTCAGTAGCAAACTTCGAAACCGAACTCCAAACACCACTGGAACAGACCCTAGTGCCAAAACCTTACACCCCAAGTAAAACCACTTAAGATCCCATTGCCATTCCTGAGCTCGTCATTACTACCAGGGCTCAGTGCGGCAGTGTAGCGGAATGCCTAGGGAGCACCTCCCCGCTCAGTGCCTGGCGGGATGGCACCTGAAGCCGGTTGCGCGGCTCCAGAAGCCGCCGAGCTTGAGCCGTTCTTGCTCAGGAACCTAAACCAAGGAACCGTAATATAAGGAAAGCTTACCAATCGATACCATTCGCTACAGATCCCGATCATGGCAATCTAAGCCGAAACCCGTAGCAAGAGCCGAACTGTGCCAGAAGCTTCTGGACCAGGTAGGAGATTAAAGGCCATGCTTTACGATTGGCCGGGCCTTAAGGGTGTGCGTGAATTTTACACGCTCAACCTACTCCTCCAAGTGCCAGCGCAATACAAGTGTGTAATCCCTTCCCCTTATGTGAAAAGACCCCCCCTAAAATTGAAATTGGTTTCCGGGGGATTGATTTGTGTATTAGGGGTGGTTTCGGCGCATTCGGATTGACAGTAATAGTTAATGAACCAGACTGTCAGACAAGTAAGTAACTAAACAACGACCGTTTTCTACGCAGCTGCTCCGGCTGTAGAGAAGACAGTCAGCCTGCCTCGTTTGGGCAGACCTCACAGGATTAATTAGTACCGTTGTAATCTTGGCTCTATTAAAACTGGTACAATCCTAGACCCGCCCTAATGCTTTTAATTCACTTTCAATTGCGGGCCCGAAACCGCACAATCCTGGCAGCCGCGAGATTTTTATATTAGGGGGGGGGGGGGGGGGGAGTGGCATGCGATTACTTCCATTGTGTGGCCACCATGAAAAGTACATATGCGCATGGGTGTGTATCATGTGGTAATGCATCTACATTGCAACAAAGAATTAAGAGTCGCTACATAATACATGTCCATACATCTTGTATGCAAGACCGATCCCGCGTGCACTGAGTTTTCAGGGGGTTCCGCGAAGATCCGCGAAGCGCAAAGAAGGCCACATGCAACTGCCCTCCATCTGTACGGCTAATCCCGTGTGAAAGTATGTACGTGAAATTCGTTTCAGGGATTCCGCGAAATTCTGCGAAGTCCATAAGTGTCAGAAATAGAAATTACCGATGCCGTTTAAGATGCTTTGAAATTCCTGCAATACTACCCCTCTCAAACTGCACCCTCTCATCCACCGCGAATGTCCGGGAAATTTCGCGAACTACACCCCAAAGAAAGGACCGTTAAAATTCACGAAAACAACCGGACAAAGCGCCGAGACTCGCCGAGAAATTTCACGAGATACACCCCCAAGGTGGCGTGAACATTTCAAAGGCACCGGGAACACCAAGCAAACGATAAAAGCGATCCCCATCAGATTAAGAAGGAGCTCGGGCCTCGGAATTTCGGAGAAAGCACTCTAAAGACCTTCACAATTACCGCGAAATTTCGCCCACTAAAACTAAGGATCCTTTTGTGCTCGCACACGTTCTTCTGCAACTTGCTTGGGTTCTTAACATATACGTGGGGTCTGCAAGCAAGAAAAACATGCTTGTCATCTATGTGGGTTTCGAATCACAACCCCAAAATGATTTTTAAGTCCGCTTGCCTCTGGGGGGCGTCCTATAAGTCCGGTTGACCCCACTGGTAATTGAAAAAGCTCTTTCTGCCCATGTATATTACTATTCAAGACCCCGGCCAAAATGCTTCCCCCAGTCTACCAAATCCTTGCCGCAATGTGCTGGCAGGATTCAGAACAACAACAAGCAACATGCATCTTTCTGGACAATATAGCAGGATTCCCACATCTCGAGGTCAAAATCCAGCCAATGTAATCAGCTGCACAATGACCCGCATTTCCTTACCCTTAGCATCTATAACAGGGTCTTTGGGCCCCTGGAGGGTTAGGGTTAGGACACGGCCATGACGGGACTGTGTAAATCCTGAGACATGAGCCCCGAAATATGCGCAGATTATAGTGGCGGGCAGCCCGGATCTTGACACTCAACGTACAACCCCATGAATAGTGTCTACAGTGTCTGGGGGCTGTAGCCTTTATGCATCATCCAAAAATCAATGCATATATGTATGTATGTATGTATGTATGTATGTACGTATGTTTGTACGTATGTACGTATGTACGTGTGTATGTAACGGGCATAAAGCACAATATACCTGCGTATGTTATACTGATGTCATAATGAACATACACCTCTATCTAGATATATGCGTATACATATGATGTATGTGTTATTTACACGGTATTATGGCCACCCACAACAAACGTACAAAAGTCCAAAAAAACGTCTCGGAGGAGTAAGTCAACACTTAAACTTAAATTGAAAGCCTCATGCGCAGGATATTGGAAACCTGTGCCGGCTTTGCAAAAAATTGCAACTACTCAGGAAATGGCAGATCGCTTCGTGATGGCTGCAACCGGGATATCCAACATGCTGTGACCACAACCCCACGCACTAGACCCAAACTTCTGCAACTTCCTGTGACCAGCATCACTACAACAATGTACAAATTAGGGTTCAGGGTGTAGGCAACTCGAGAACTAAGCTGACCAGTGCTGCCATCAGGCTCGCTGATTTCAAGCGACGATCTGTCAAAGGAGAGCGAGGTCAAAACTGTCAGCAAAAAGCTACGAGCTTAGCTTTCAGAAAAACAGGGCTCCCGGTAGATCAAGGAAGCCCTAAACCCTAAACCCAAGATTATGAGTTATTGGTTAGCTCAGTGTTACTCCTCGATCTATGAAAACCACCTGTACAGTTAAATGATGCTCGGTCGTGGCCCAAGTGCACAGTCTCGGGCTCAGCAGGATTCAGCGGGATTGCCAATTCCGATGCAAGTGGCAAAACTAGAGGATGATATCTTGAATGCTGTCCCTCTGCAAAACTTAAACTATATGCACCACATCCCGAGCAGCCCTAGCACGGAGTTCCCGCTTCAAGTGTGCATTCAATTACTCATGATCTCAATGGCTCGCCGGAGGGACACAGCCCTCTCGGCGATCTCGAGAGCCTCCACCGTCTCGCGATGGGAGCCATTCACCTTACTTTTGGTTAGTAGGGAATGGAGGAATGGGAACTATTATAAGGACCATTACTACTATTCTTCCATTCCCTACTAACCAAAGGTAGGTCACATCTGCTTTCCGGGCAATCTCAAGCGCCGTGCGGCCCCGGGATGTCTTCCGCTTGGGATCTGCTCGCGCCATGAGAAGACCTCGGTGTTTTTTTTCAGGGATGTATTTTAAGTTGCCAGAATAAGGAAACCATATTGTTTTACTATAGATCCCTATGATGGTGACTTAAAATCCTTTAAGAAGAACCCAGAGACTCTTGACGACCGTCTCGTGGCCAAGCTTGGCTGCGACATGGATGGGACATGTGCACTCTGGCCTCCGGAAGCGAAAACAGCCACTCGGAATGGACACCTGCTGCTCGTTCGCATCCATGCCCCTAAAGTTGTAGAAACGCAGCCAAGAGCTTATCTGATGCAATGCCTTCATCTGCACCCGCTCCCTCCTTGTAAGATGGGCCATCCAATCGATGTAAACCTCCTCATCGCCAACTGGCTCCTGGTAATGGCATGTTACCACACGGCTACATATCAGTACTATAGTAGGCGGATCTTTTCATTCACTGTTCAAACCCCCATGCTGTCTGTCCGGGTCCTTCTCGTACTCCTTCGTGCGCCATCGGCTTTCCAACTTCGGTGTAGGTATGATGGCCTGGCCCTCATCAAACATCACATAGCCCGGAAGGCTTGCGGCGGTTCCGGCATGGGCACACAAAGCCATGATCGAGGTCACTACAATGCCCGAATTGCAAAGACAAGAGCTTTAGCCAAAATGGCTGCCACCGGGCATTGTTTCGAGTAGCGCCCTAATCAACTATAGACCCTAAACGACAAGGTTTGGGGCTTGAGGAATTGCTGGGTTTCAGGACCGTACAGCTTACAACCCACCCAAACGCCCTTGGCCCTCACCAAAGCCACATCAAGCCTTTAGCCGTAAAACTGCCCTAAACCTCTCTCTCTGCAGCATCAGCAGTTACAATGTCTAGAGGGTTATACGGTTTTAAGCTATTCCCCTGAACTGGCAGAGATCAGGTCTGGGGATATGTTATCGTGAACCTGGATAAGGACTCACGGGATACCAGTACTAGGCACTCCCGCCTCTGTACTAGATTAGGGTTTAGCGTCTTGCTAATTCAGAGATGTGCTATGAACTCTGAAGTGGTTCCCTGCCTGAAGATTGCTCTTGTACACCACCCGCGGTCCCAAATGGAAAACGACACACGCACGCACACACACACACACAAATGCGATATCAACACAGAGCCTTGAGTGTACAAGCTTATAAAGGGTTTACGGTGTAGGGCACTAGCATGGAGCCTACGCCAATCTCGTTTTCTCTGGCAGTCTGCAAACTGAATGGAAACTGCTCAAGGTAGACTCAGAAGAAGCCGTAGCGCTCATGCTTTCTTGCCACCCGCTTGACCTGAGATACTGATGAAGCTGCAAAACATAGACCTGTACGGCAGTATGCTGCGTGGCAATGAGCCCACGGATCAGGGAGGCAAGGACAACTCATCACCATACCATACTATACTATAATATAATATAAGACAATTTACTATATATAAATATTCTATAATATAATATAATAGAATATAATATAACATAATCATAATAACCTTAACACGTCACGAGTTGTTTAAACAGCAGTATATGGTCAAACATTGCTTGAGAGTTCAATGCCTTTGTATTTCGGGTTGTGACCTGGCCCCTTTGATGTGTTTGTGTTTGTTTGTGTTGGTGTTTGTGTTTGTCTGTGTGTTTGTGTCTGTGTCTTTGACTTTGTCTTTGTGTTTGTGCTTCTGTGTGTGTGTGTGTGTGTTTGTCTCTCTGTGCGCGCTGCGTCTTGGACTTAATTCGGCTTAAGACACAGACGAAGCCCATGACCAGAACCCCCCTACCCCAGTACCCGAAACCCTAAACCCTACACTGCCCTACACCCTGGATAAGCCCAAACTTCTTCGGGGCCAACCCTCTAAATACATTGGGATTAAGGGTTTGGGGCTGCAGAGCTTGGAATGGGGTCTGGATAGATAGATCGACGGATAGATGGATAGATAGATAGATGGATAGATAGATAGATAGGTAGATAGAAAGGCACTTAGACATATATCTTTGAAAGGTGTAGGCACTTGGGGGTGTGAGGGTCGAGGCACACCAAGCCCTAAACTCGAACTTGGCGCTCGACCGAAGAACAAAACACAACTGGGTTCTTTCTTAAAAGATCTTATTTAAGTTACCATAATAGGGATCTATAGTAAATGATAGGGTTCCCTTGTTATGGTAACTTAAGTTAAATCCCTTAACAAGAACCCAGACAAACATCGAAAGCCTCAACAAGAAGCCCTAAGCCCTGAACCCAAAACCTTAAGCGTCCCAAGGCCTGTCAAGTCCGGCATGTCTCGGCAATGCTATCGCTTTAAGGGTTCATTCAAGGGTGCTTTCAAGACTCTTTTGAATATATTAATATATATATATATGTATATATATATATTATATAATACAATATAATATATATATATATATATATTAATATAATATAATATAATATTATATTATATTATATTATATTATATTATATTATATTATATTATATTATATTTTATTACATTATATTATATTACATTACATTACATTATATTACATTATATTATACTATATTATATTATAATATATTATA